CTGTCCTGGATCTCGTTCTGTAGACCAGGCTGTCCTTGAACTCACACAGATTGCCTGGCTCTGCCTCCCCAGTGCTAGGATTAAAGGCATGTGCCACCAATGCCTAGCTTCAGCAGGAACTTCTAATAAGTATGTTGAACTTGTTTTTAATACACCGAGGCCCGACCTTCCTTGTCAGAATGGGTTTGTAAAGGGACTGGAATGTTACTGTGGTTGTGATTTGTGGGTTTGCCAGTGCCAGAGTCTAAGCTTGATGCAGAGTGAGAGAGGTTTAGAGAACTCCCAAGAGTGCTGGTTGGCTGGCGCACACCTCAGGAGTCGATAGAGGCAAGTCACAGTGTGAATACAGTTTGGTCCTCAGAATTAGTGTGTGCTTTGGTGTCTATGAAAGATCTGGGTCGAGGAGCCTGTCCTGCAGGCTATTTTTTGACATGGCAAATTAGCATTTTTCCTTTGTGTGTGTCTGTTCATTATACCTTCCTATTGAATTTGCTCTCAGGTTGCTCTAGAACTTGGCTAAAGCATGGGTTCTTGGTCCAGGAGAGAACATTCCTTCCATTGGCCTGGATGCTGTGGCTCTGGCAAGGACAGGTGTCGGGTGCTGGTTCCCACACGTGGTGGGTTGTTGGTTAGAGGAGAAGGGGAAGCCTGCTGCTGGCTGCCTGCACTTGAGCTTTCCTGAATTGATGGGCTGATTCTCAGGCTGTCACAGAGGGTGGAGAGCTGCCCATGGAATTACGGGACTGGGGTTCTGGATGCCAACTTTGGCAGCAGCAACCAAAAGGGACATTCTTGGAATTTTAGCTTTTCTTACTTGAGGTCACAGTTGCTGTTTGTCTTATGGATCCTCAGTTTGTCTGACTAAAGTGAGTTGACTGCTTTGTGAAGAGGAAATTCTGTGAGGATGAGACATGGGCACAGCCGTTCTTTATACTTGGTTCCCTGATCCTTTCCTTGTTTCAAGGATGATGTTGTTGTAGAAGTAGCAAAGTCTTTTTAAGTTTAGTTTTATTCGAGTGAAAATTCTTATCCAGGTGGACAAGAAGTTTGGGGCAGAGCTGTCTTGCTCTCAGTGATTATCACTGGTGGACCATGCTGGGGGGGGGCACCACCCACTTATCCACATGCTACCTGTAGAGAGGATCTCACTAGGGAGTTTGTTTGAGGCCAAATCTAGTTTGCTGGAGGAGCTGGGGGAAGAGGAGGAGGGGGGGTGGAGGGGGAGGGACATTTTGGTAACCATGAAGGATAGTGTGGAGCAGCTGTGCTTCAGGAAGCACCCAGGCAGCTCCTCTGTGCACCTTGGAAGACTGGGTGTGCGTCTCCTTCTCTGTCCAATTCACTACTGGCCTGTCATTATCATCTTTGGGCAGTGTGGTAATGGGATGGATGACAGGCATCTATAGGGGCCCGTGAACACTTAGGATGGTGGTCTCTAACACTTCATGCTATATTTAGGAGAAGGCTCTGAGCTCGGGAATAACCCATCTTACCAACTCTTTGTTTTTGGTTTTCATGAGACAGGGTCTCTTACTAGATTGTCTGGGGCTCATTGTACAATGCATGTTGCTCTTGAACTTGAGGTCCTTCTTTCCCAGCTGCCTGGATACTACTGTATGCCACCATACTTGGCTTTTTCTTTTCCAGGTCTTGCCCTGCCACTTTTAGGCAGAGCCCTGTATTCTAGGACTGCTAGGAAAAGGAACTCCTGGCCTGGGTAGGTGCGAATGATCCTGAAGGAAGCCAGGGCACTGAGAATGCTGGAGGAAGTTGCCTCTTCAACCTCTTCACAATTGCACAGAGATGCCATTGGATCGGAAGCATGCCCACCTTACTCTGCCCTGAATGGAGTGCCTTAGTGGGGGAGGGGGACTTGAACACCTTGGAGGTGAAAAGTGGGAGTCAGGGTGCTCTGGGGATGCCTTCAAAGTCTGCCTCTGTGTTAAGTGTGCACTTTCTTCCATTTATGTTATAAATTTGGAAACAGCTTTTATAAATAGCAGGTTAAATCTGAATTGATCAAATCATAATAGTTGTTTTTGCAATGTTGAAGCAAAGATGTAAAGCTCTGTAGAAACTGCCTGAGGTCTGAGGCAGTTTGTGGAGTTCGAAGAAGCAACTTTGCTTCTCTCCAGGTTCACCTGCTTGCCTGGCCTGGGATGCAGTTGCTGTGTAGGGCTCTCATTGGCAGTCCTTTAATCAGGCCTTTGCTGGCAATAAAACTACAAAATTAAGTTAAGAAAATGGGAGGGTGGGCCTTTTCATAGGAGGTCTGGGTACTATGGAGCTGGCAGCTTTGTACCCGCTGCTGGGGCCAGGGTTCCCTGGGTGTTGGTGTGAGTGCAGTTTGGCCAATTCTCTTAGAGCATCTTGCTTGGCAAGGTTGCTCCTGTGAGACAGGTCAGGCACTGCAAGGTTGTGTCTAAGAATTAGAAGTTTTATACTTTATGATAGGGCTGTGAAAGTTTTGGTTTTTATATTCTTTTGAATATTTATTTGCACCAAGGATTTAAAGCTTAATCTGTAGGCAATAAGATTGTCCAATTAG